TTTTCATTAATAATTAATTAACATTAATAATCAATTACATATCTTATATTTCTTTATTTTATTTATTTATATTATCATATTTCTTATAAATAAGGTAGCTTTAGAACTTTAATAATATTAGACTTTTAAGTAGAGAATTATTTTTAGTACTATTGCTAATAAGATAAATACTAAACATATTTGTATATTAACAAATACACTTGTAATAATTATTCTATTTAATAAAACTCTATCATTTACCTATATCACATTTATTTCTAAAAATACTCTTGGATTATAAACCTTGTTAAAAATCATCAAAATTGATCTACAAATTATTATTTGACTTAGTTGACAAATATGACAAATTGGTCATATTTGACTGATCTATCATATCTATCATATTTATCTTATTTGTTAGATTTGTTATATTTGTTATATTTGTTATATGTATTTATTAATTATATCTTATTTATTATATTATTTTATTTATTATATCAAATATATTTATCTTATTATATTACTATTAATTTATTTTATATAAATGGTATGTATTTGTTCTTGAGTTAAAGAATAACTTGAGATAGAGATTTGTAAATAAACTAAGAATTAACTAAATATCTTCAAATAATAAATATCAAAAAGATGATCTGACCCTTCAATTAATTAAATTCGTGTATATTTCTTTCATAGTTTAGACATAATTAAACTCACTGTTAGCAAATATAAATTGTTAATTTAATGATATATAGATTAAGTTTAACAACCTTCAGAAGTTCTTCATAAATCATATTATAAAGTCTTATTAATCTTGCGTCAATACTAATTTCAGTCAATAGTATCATAAGATAATAGTAGCATTAAATTGATAATAAACTAGTTAATAAGTAAATGACAAAGTTATTCTTATTTGGATTTTTATGTGATCTTATATTTGCTTTATTATTGATAATAGTAGTTTGAATCTTTTTTAAAAATAAAAACATTAATTATATCTGTTTTTTTTATCTTTAATCATATTAAAATAATATTAAACATACAAGATTTCTTTTTATATTTGTATTTTCAGTAATTTTATGTGATTCAGCAAAATATGTAATAAAATTACTAGTTGAATTTCTATTTAAATAGAACTAGCTACACACTTTTTATCTGTTATTTTAACTGTTATCAAATAATATAGAGTCATACCATTTTCTATATCCAACTTTTAAACTTACTTATTTTATCAAATGTTTTCACTTTCTTGATAATATCTCTAGAGTTTTATTTTTTTATGTGTTTATTTAAAGATTTAATAAAAGGATTTGAATTTTCTTCTTTATTATTATGATTATTTAAGGATATAAGTAAAATATTTTCTTTAGTTATTATTTAACTTAAATTTCACAAAGAATAGAAAAAAGTTATAAGAAGATATATTTTTAAATTTTACAATCATATGGGTGGTGATATACTATTAAAATTGAAATACTAGACATATTAAATCATATAATCTGTATCTCAATTTAATAGTATACCATCATATAATAAAAAATAATTTCTAATATTTAGATTTCTAAAATGAAATAAAATTATAAAGATGATGATCTTAAAATGTAACAGTCTGCATTTTACAAATTTTAGTTTCTAATAAGTAAAACTAAACAAATTCAAAAAAATAACATAAAATTATTATATAATAAACAATCTAATAATTTTATTACAATTAACTAATTATTATATTTACATTTAATAATTTAAAAGTTTAAATTGTAAATTTAGTAAAGCGAATATCTGCAAATAGTAATAGGGCAATTTCTTCATAGAGCAGTTTGAACTGGTTCAGTTTTTCTAATTCTAATTCTCAATTTAGAACTTTTGAAACTTCAATTTTATCTACTGATTATACACCATTTTATTTTAGAGAGACTATGAAAATAAAATGATTTTATTATCATTTCAAAAGAATCAAAATGATTTTTATTATTATTTCAAAAAGAACGATTTTTTATTATTCTGAATGAATGATTTAATTATCATTTTTTTGAAATAATCTATTATTATTAAAACAATTAACTTTATTGTTCTTTTAAAACAATCTTTTATTATTTCTTTAGAATGATTTACTTTATCATTTTTTTAGAATGATTTAATTATCATTCTAAAGAAACAATTTATTTTATCATTTTTTTAGAATAATAATACACAAGTTTTAGATTGGGTCAGATAACCATTTGACCTATTATTTAGATTAGATTTATAAGTTAATCCATCTAACCTAACTTGTTTAGACTCTAGTTCTTGAAATAATTCCAAAATATTTTATTCATAATTGCCATAAGATTACGCAAAAATGATGCAAATAATGCAATCTTTTCAGATAATTTTTTTGGACTATTATGATTTTGGTAATTATTATTTATTTGTTCATTTTTAGTTTATTTAGATCTTAGGTCACTATAATTTTTGGTAAGTATATTTTATTTTTTTTTAGAACTTTTCAGGTCACTCTGATTTTTCAGTATTTTTTTTTAGTTCTTTTTTAGCTTAACCACTTAGTATTATTTGTATCATTATTTTTTAGTTTATTTTTTTAAAATCCAATATTACAATTAATTATTAATAGCCTAAATAAAATAATCTAAAAAAACAGTTACAAATCATTTGATATTATCTGAAGTAATATATTTTTTAGAAAAATCTGTAAAAGTTACTAAATGTTTTATATACCAAAGCTATTATTATATAGACTTTAGGTATGGTATAATAATCATGAAAATAATATTAATTTTAACGATTTTCTTAAAGATTATTTTATGATTAAAACGAAAAGTTATTTGCTTTCTAAAATTATCATTACATCTAAAACTTTCAAAATTCTAAAAGCAGGATTGGTTAATAATAAAGATAAACAAATATTTTACAATTAATAAAGAACCATTATCATTTAATAAAACCTGTAAATCAAAGATAAAAGAGAAGGAGTAATATAAGAAAAGTCTAAGATAATAATAAATTATAAGGAGTTAATAATTTTAGAATATACTGTACTTAGATATATGCCAGTAAAATTACATTACGGATCATATGTAATGTTCCCATATAATAAATATATATATAGACTGATCAATTTATTCATGGAAAGATACCGAATGTATTTTTAATGTAACAAAAAATAAAGTCATGATGAATTTTGGTAATGAGAATATTAATCAAAGGAAAAAACTATTACATAGTGATGAGGATGTAAGGTAAAATCAAATGACTCTCTTTTTTAATAATGATAACGATTATGACGATTATAGCAACAATGATATATATATATCTTATATTAATAAATTTCAGTTAATTAGCTGATCTTTAACCTAATTTAAAGTTGAATTAAATCTGGATCTAATCATGTAAATCATTCAATACAGTAACCAAAAAATTGTAACACCGCCAGTGAGTTTTAGAAATGTTCAAAAAGATTTAATTGGAAATTTCTTCTAATAAATTATAATAATTTTAATTTACATCCGGTATCGTCCCAAATTTATTTTTCGTCGTTTCCAACTACTTTCTGTTCCTTGACTATCAGTCTGATCGACGGTTGTAAGAGATTTTATTCCGATCTTTTTCCAATCACAATTATTTAATTGACCATATACCGAAATGGGCTTTTGAGCTCCATTTAGATATAGAACCGGAACCATCGATGGTCTTTCAATAGATGTAGTTTAATAATGCGAAATATAAGACTTCGCTTACATATATAAAATGTATGCTTACCTCCCATGTGCACATTGAAATGGGAAATCACATTCTGCAAGTTTTGTTATCAACTCTTCACATTGTTGTAATGAAAGCTTGTCATTAAACATGATAGCACCTATTAACAAATAAATAAATAAATATTATGAATATTTGTTTCTTATATTTGATGCTCCAACAATAAATTAATGAAGATAAATTACCTCTACAGGCTTTGGAATTTAATATATCAACAATTCCTCTTGGACATTTTCTTATCATTGTCCGCCATTCTCTAGATTCATCAGTGTTATCATTTGTGCTAAAATCGATGCCGATACCGCCTGTATCTTCTAACCAATAAAGGTGCTGACGGATAAGTTCTTGTGTCATTCTTGCATCTAATACACAACGATCAGCAATCATTTTCGGAAGATGAGTCACATAAATAGGAATAAGGTCACCCTCTTTTGAAGAGATAAAATGTGGCGAAACAAAAGAAGTGGTCGATGTATTAGACGTGTTATCAGTCTTAGTTTCACATTTATCGCTAAAAAATATTCCCCATTTATTAAAGTTGTCTTCAAATCTCCTGACAGCTTGTGTCTCCCTAAATGTTAAAATTATCTTATTTGATGGTTTAAGTTGAATTGTTTCAACAAATGAAATAGCTTGCTGTATATCACTATCATCTTCAATATCCATTCGATCCGGTTTTTTAAATTCACAAAATTCTTTCATTAACATTTCAACACGCACACGTTCATCGGCTGCGTGTTGATCAACGAGAACCAAAATATTACGTGGTCTTTGTTCGTCAACTCCATTATCATCTATGTTTTGATCAATATTTTGCGCACAAGGTAGCTTGCAAGCAATGAATTTATCATCAAGTTGTCCTATAACTTTAGCATGTTCAATATCTTTTTTACAAAATCGATGCTCTGAAACATTTGAACGAGTTGAAAAAAAATTACTAGTGATCAAAGTAAATTTGTTATTTGCAGTCATTACTTTAAGCATAGGAATTGGAACTTCCGTGCTTCTGAAAACGGGATTATTCCATTTCTAATTCAAAAAAATTAAATGATAAATTAAATGATAATGAAATTAAAGAAGATTTGGCATTGTAAAATTTACCTCAAAAGTCTCTTTTGCCCATGAAATCGCTCTAAAGTTATTAACTATGTCATCATCGTTATGAAAGATCGATGTTCTAAGTTTACTTCGATCTATTTTAGCTTTTAATTTGTTGTTTGCACTAGAAGAGCGTGATTTTGATTTTCTGGTATTTAATTCTTGAGAACTTGGACCATTTGCTTTGAAGTTATTCTCTGAATCTTTGTTATCTTCGATAAGATCATCACTGTGGCTAACGTAGTATAAATCCCTTTTAAATTCTTTATCATGAAATGTGTACCGATTTTGACCTCCACTTTTAATATGAAATATATCTTCAAGAGAAAGTGGTAATTCGCGTTTATGATTTATCGGTCCTTGATTAATTATTGAAATGGTTGAAGAATTATCTAAACTTGGTATTGACTCAATCTCACGTAATGAAAAGCCATGTTGCACCAGAAATTGTGATACTAGTGCAGAAAAGAGGCCTAAAATTTTGGACCAATTCTGAAGAGTTTGAAAAAAAGTTTAGCAAATAATTAAAGTCTCAAATTAATAAAAAGAAATATCAACCTTAAATTCTATTATATTTTTTGCTGGATCCAAACATATATCATAATTAGTTGTTGGACAAGTGAGATGAATGAAGAATACCGGATATTTTTCAAGAGACTTTGTCAGAGAGTTTTTTCCTATTTTAGAAATATATAAATAAGTGAAATGGTTCGAAAATTAATTTATTTTATTTAACATATAATAAGAAAATACTCGCTAAATTTTGAAGGTGACTCGGATCCATATTCCAAAGGTTCATCATAATTCTAAAGTTAAAGAAAGAATTTTGGTAATAATGAAAAACATTAATAAAGGGAATTTTCATAAATCGGAAACTTTAATTGGTCGTCTAACCTTTTTCCCAAAACTACTTTGATTGAACATATCATCAATCAATTTGTGTACTTCATTATAATATATATACCGTTTATTAACGACTAAAAGCCAGTAAGGTTAGAAGTTTCAATATAATATAATAATGAGCGGATACTTTTATAAAAATTATCAATAATTACAAAAATATTGATGATGCTATATAACATTAAAGAATCGCGTTAATTAGAAGATTGATTAAAGGCATATGAAAGTAATAAGTCGCAAAATATTATCTACTTTCGTATGAAACCCCCTTAGGGAAAAGAATCCATCGATTTTGATGTCATCTTCTTCTGCGTATATAGATTCAAGATTCTATAAAAAAAAAAAAAAAATAATGAAAAAAAGATGGAATAAGATAATAAAGAATAATTATAGTTTGATTCCATTTTTTACCTGCGCCAAAGATGATCCAAAAAGCTGACGAAAAGTAGAAATACTATTTGTAACCTAATAAAATGATTTGAAAGGTCATTTGAAATTCTTTGCTGGCTAATTAACAAATGAACCATCTTTACCTTTCTTGTTGTAACAATTTTTCTATCTCTTAACGCGTCAATTAATATGAAAGTCACTTGAGGATTAATTAACGCTATAGATTCTACTGATTTTTTAACATTTTCGAGTTCATTGATGAATTTATTCTCTGATAAATGCTTACGACGTACAGGATACTATAAATATGAAACAAGAATGATCAATACATGATGATTTCATGAATTGTTTAAAAGATTAAGATCATACAGTGTAAAATAAATCACGAATAATTATTATAGTCCCGGGCTTTTTACGTCTACTACTTCGTGTCGGTCCATACTGAAGACGCTGACCACCCTAAACAGTAGGTAACAAAATATTAAGATATCATAACTATTTGATGTGAACATTTACTCAAAACAAATGTATAATCGAACCTTCAGAATAGTACTATATGTGTCGTAAGAATCAGGATGTTTACTTATTATTTCCAAGATTGAGACTTCAGCCAATGAAGATAAAGCTTTAAATAAAAAAGATAAATTAATAATCGATTAAAAGAAATTCTATTGAATGATTATTAATTAAAACCTTCTCCACGGAAGCCATAAGTGATTACATTTGCCAAATCTTCTAATGTATGACATTTTGAGGTAGCTATAAATATTAAAGTATATTTAAACTCAAAATCTAGTTAAATTAAACAATTAATTCTAAATACCATATCTTTCACCAATTTTTTTCATATCATCTGGTGTAATCCCTGATCCATTATCAGTAATTTGAATAAAAAATTTCATCAAATCTACATGAATTTCTATGGACGTGGCTAACGCGTCAAGACCTGACAAGAATTTCGTTTCGTTGTCACAATACCTGGTTAGTGTAAAAGAATATAGAATACTAAAGTAGAAGCGCGACATGTTCTTACTATTCTGAACGAGCTCGACGACGCACTGAGCAATAGTTGAAATAAAAGAAGCACGCAGTTTGCGAATAGCCGAGTCATTTAAACGGCGAATTGTCATGTTGGAATGTACGTGAAATTTTTACTGAGGATAAATCACGTTAAGAAATCCCTTTTTTAGGTTAACTTTATTATAAATTTATAAATTGAAATTAGTACTCGAACATAATATAAGGGATATACCAATCAATTATTTAATATCCGAATATTGAATCAAACTATGTTCAAAAAAAATTTTTTTCTTTTTTTAATTATACTAAATTATCATCCAGAAATTACAAAGTAAAAATAAAAAAAAAACAACCTAAAAAGATATATACAAAGAAGAATAATAAATTATTATTTTGAATATACTGAATGTATTACATGTATTATATGAGCCGTTGTTAAGTAAATGTCATTTTTATGCCCAAAATTTCCAAGATTTATTCTTTTGTTCCTGTCGTTTACTCAATTGCTTAGCCATTTCAGCAAAACTAGAAGCATTATTTCTTAACGACTCGGTTTTGTCAGATATGTTTTCAAGTTTTTCTTGACGCTCATTCAGAGCTTCTCCAACTTCAGCCAAGACATCCTTCGTTTGTGAAACACCATTTGTGGTTACATAGTCTTTTGGAGGTGGTGGTGGTGGAATGTCATCTCCATTTTCTAATAATTGCTCCCGTTCGCTAATAATAGTCTCATCAACTCCAATGCTTGCACCTCTACTAAGTTCTTCCTCATCTTCCGGAGGATAAATACGTTTATCAAGTTCATCGAATTTTTCTTTAAGTTTTTCAACAAGGACAGTTGGTGTACGTTTAATAAACATTTTAACATTAATAATGGAATTCATTCTTTTGTTGACGGCAGCTTCGGGTGTATCTTGTTTTTCAATCCCTTGACCTTCACTGTTGTTTTCTGCGGATCTCGCAGCATCCGCAGTTTTATCATCATTATTATTGGAACTTTCGATAGATTCTGGTGAAGCGGGCGTAGCGGATGTAACGTTATCCACCTTATCAGCGACATTATTCTTGGTTTCCTCTTGCTTAATTTGAACAGTAGAGTCTGAAGTAGCAGCATCTTTCTGTTCTGAAGTGGTATTTTGAACGCTAGCATTTGCAGAGGAATCATGTCTACCAATCATACTTCCAATTATTTTGCTAACATTCTTAAACATATCGCCTTTATTTGTTGGAGTAGTTGGGTTTGGAGGAGGCGAAGTCGAAGTTGGTGAAACCTCAGATTCAGGAGTTTTGGTTTCTGCTATATCAATGGGTGAGGAAACAAGTTGAGGAGAGGTACTTTGAGGTACCTGGATATGTAAACCGTTTTGAGCGACTAAATTTTTTTTTAAAAAAAGTGAAAAGAAATTTTATATTTTAATAAATAAAACAAAACTTGTAAAGAATAACTTGTAAAGAATTTTTGAAAAGAAAGAAAGGCTTACCTTTTTCGTCTTTTTTTTGTTTTACTGATTCCTCTTCATTACTTTGAGAATCAGGTATTTTCAACGCAGGAACAGTTTGAGTGTTTTCCCCGTTTACGGAATCATTACCGTTAGTAGTAGTTAATGTATTTGTACTCATTGTCTTTTGTATTTCCGTAAAAGTCGTTTTTTGTATTGTAAATGGCTTAGGATTTTCAGAAACTAGAACAAATTTAAAAATATTTACTTTCGTCAAAATGATTTACGGACATGCTTTTTTATTTATATCAAAAAAAAAAAAAAAAAAATTAAGGTATAGAAAATTGTATGACTATGGAAGTTAAGGTTATACAGAAATATTTCGGTTATGGTCGAAACCTACACTTAGTTTACTTTTTATAAAAAAATTGGGGAAATGTTACAAATTTAGTTACAATCTTTTTATTTTTTATTATATTTGCATTCTAAATCGTTTGTTTGAATCACATAATTTTACCATGCAGAAATCCAAATACACAAAACACTCAAATTATTATGACTATAATATTACTATATATAAGAAATTTTTATGTAACAAATGTAATAATAAAGCAAATCGAAGGAAATATTTTTAATAATAAATCAAAGCAATAAAGAAGCAATTAAAAAGTCCTTTTAAAATGTGTTTATATTAACATGTGATGACTAATCAACTTCTTCCATTTGAGAAGCTTCCGCAGCGGACGAGTCAACAAGAGTGGGAATTTCCTCAGTTTCCATTGCTTCGGTTTCATCACTGCCAATATCAAGACCAAGCTTGATCATCTTGAAAATTCTTCCAGCAAATGATGATGGTTCGTCCAAAGTGAAACCAGATTGTAAAAGTGAGGTTTCAAAGAGAAGCCACGTAAGATCTTTAACGGTTTTATCGTTTTTGTCAGCTTCTACTTTAGCCTTAAGCGACTTGACAATTGGATGGCAAGGATTGATTTCCATAATCTTCTTGGAAGCCATATAAGAAGCCATGCTAGAATCTCTCAACGCCTGTGCTTTCATGATACGTTCAAAGTTGGCAGACCAACCATATTGACCTGTGACGAGAACACAGGGCGATTCCGAGATACGATTTGAAACAAGGACCTAATTTTAAGGGTAATTCTTTGATTAGTAATTTTCATAATAAATTATTTGTAAAGATTAAAAAAGTCTTTTAAATACCTTTTCAACTTTATCTCCGAGAATTTCTTTGATTTGTTTACATAGATCCTCGAACTGTTTAGCTTCTTCTTCGCGTTTCTTTTTTTCCTCTTCGTCTTCATCAAGTTCCAGGCCTTCTTTAGTAATACAGATTAATTTCTTCCCATCGTATTCTTTAAGTTGTGATACAGAATATTCGTCAATTGGATCAGTCATAAGTAATACTTCATAACCTCTCTTCTTAAGCACTTCAACAAAAGGTGAATTCTCTACGGCTTGACGACTTTCACCAGTAATGTAGTAAATGTCTTTTTGTTTTTCTGGCATACGAGTAACATAATCTTTAAGAGACGTTAGTTCTTCTCCAGATCTTGTAGAAAAATACCGAAGAAATTCTGCTAGTTTAGCGCGGTTCTGCGAGTCTTCGTGAATACCGAGTTTGAGATTCTTTGCAAAGGCTTCATAAAACTTGTTAAAGTTGTCTTTGTCTTCCGCAATTTCTGAGAAGAGTTCCATACATTTTTTTACTATGTTTTTACGAATAACTTTAAGAATCTTATTTTGTTGAAGCATTTCACGAGAAATGTTGAGAGGTAAATCCTCAGAATCCACAATACCCTTAACGAAGTTTAGGTATTCCGGAATCAAATCTTCACAATCATCCATAATAAAGACGCGACGAACATATAATTTGATATTGTTGCGTTTCTTCTTTGTCTCGAAGAGATCGAATGGAGCACGACGAGGAACGAAGAGGATTGCACGGAATTCAAGTTGACCTTCAACAGAGAAGTGCTTAACAGCCAAATGATCCTCCCAATCATTAGAGAGGGATTTATAGAATGAAGCATATTCTTCATTTGTGATGTCATCAGGGTTACGAGTCCAAAGCGGTTTTGTCTTGTTAAGTTCCTCGGTTTCTTTTGTTTTCTCTTTAATTTTCTTCGTTTTCTTTTCCTTCTTTTCTTCTTCGTCTTCCACTTCTTCAATTTTTGGTTTCTGATCTTCGCTTTTTTCGTCTTCCTTGTCCTCTTTGTCCTCTTCTTCCTTGACCTCCTCTTCATCTTCAACTTCTTTCTCAATTTCCTTTTCGACAACAAGTTGAATTGGATAACCAATAAATTCGGAGTGTTTTTTAACAATATCTTTTATCTTGCGTTCTTCAAGATATTCAAGTTGGTCTTCCTTAAAGTAGAGTCGAATCTCTGAACCCCGTCCAAGTGGAGGATTTTCTGTATCACGTGCAATTGTGAATGAACCACCGGCAGCTGATTCCCAAATATATTGTTCATCATCGTTGTGTTTGGTGATAACTTGTACACGGTCAGCAACTAAGTATGCGGAATAGAAACCCACACCAAATTGACCGATCATAGAAATATCGGCACCGGATTGTAAAGCTTCCATGAAGGCCTTTGTACCAGAACGGGCGATAGTACCAAGATTATTTACTAAATCTGCCTATAAATAAGGAAGAGGAGGATAAAGTTGTATTGTTAAAATTTTGAATTAACTTTCAATTCATTTTATGAGACCGAGACCGAGATAGATACCTTTGTCATACCGATACCAGTATCTCGGAGGATGAGTACGTTATGTTCTTTATCAGGAATAATTCGAATATACAAGTCACGACCAGTTTCAAGTTTCGAAGGATCAGTAAGTGACTCATATCGGATCTTATCTAAAGCATCAGAAGAATTTGATATCAATTCACGAAGGAAAATCCTATGTAGGAAAGATACAAAGTAAATGATGTTAGGGCAAACATTTTCGTGTAACAATGAGACATGTAAACACCCGCATAAAAAATTTTTTTTTAAAAAAAAAGGCCTTTGGGGCTTTTCAAAGGCAATAAATAATAATAATATAATGAAGTGGATATACTTACTCTTTATTCGAATAAAAGGTGTTAATAATAATTGACATAAGCTGAGATATCTCAGCTTGGAAAGCAAATTGTTCAACTTCTGCTGGTTCGCTCATTATGAAAATACGTGAAAAAAAAGTTTTTTATAAAAGTATATACACGAATAAAAAATAATCCTTTCGGGTGCGTTAACAAAAGAAAAATTTTTTTGTTGAAGAAATTTTTTTGAGGAAAATTTTTTGATCCTTTTTATATTAAGATATTTATGATGACATGAACGGATGTCGTAGCCTTTTTTTTTTTTTATAAACTTTCTACGATGTTCTATGTGTGTACAATTGTAAAACTGTATTTTTTAACCCCAAAAAAGGTTGATCGTCGATTCGTAGGTGGAAGGTTCCAGCAATTTTGAGAAAACTACGGAGTTATATACTTTGGAAGGTTCCAGTAATTTTGAAAGTTAACGAATGCACCAATCGAACAAATGTAACAAAGGCTGTGTTTCAATAATTCTAGAAAGATCTACAGGGTCAACGATAACAGGGCTGAAATAAAATAAAATGAATTTTTTTTCTCTCCCAATAATAAACAATAAAAAAATTTTTATAATGCTTTAGATACAAGATCATGTTCAGGTTATTTTTTGTTTGTACCACAATTTAAGCGTTATCTAGTTCGCTAATACACATAAATTTTTCGATCGATCTAGAATTCAATTAAAATAAATCACTTTTCTCTATTGTTAGGAGAATGGATTTTTATATAATATATAATACAATGAGAATATATAAATTTAAATTATTTATCCTTTACTAAATATGTTTAATACCTTTTTTCTAATAATGTGTCTTTATAAATATTTTCATATTGTGGTAAATCAGCTATAAATGATTCTTCATTCATTTCTGCTTCCCTTCTTTTGTCTGAAAGAATATGTTCTTTAACCATTTCACTTTTTTCATCGAAATTTTCCAAAACATCATCAATAATATAAGGAGTTAATATGCCTGGAGGTATAACGTCAGGACTTTGTTTTTGACGAACACGACTCGCAATTCCAGATTTAGGTAGCCATTCTGCTAATTTTTGTTGATACTTTTCTTTATGATAAGAATATTCACTTTCCTCTTCTTCACCACCACCTTCGTTATCCGAATTTGCAGAAATTGAACCAGAAGAATTTGATTTGGTTTTCTTTCTTGGATATAATAATTCACTATTTCTAATAAAACAATCATGACTAAAAGCTGTTGAATCTGGAATAAGACTTTTCCAACTTTTCTCTAAAACTTTAGATATTTCCGATAAAGATAATCCAGAAGATAATATTACCCTATGTATAGGGTATAATTTCGAATCTTTAAATTCATCTGTGGGACGAATTTCCAACATAACTTCTAGCCAAGGAATATAATTTAAAGCAATATTCAATGGTCTACTAAATGCTAAATCATCTGATAATAATGCTGAAGTTTTAATTGGAATTGTGAATAAATCGAATGTAATGTTATGTGGTTCGTCTGAAGAAAAGGTTGTATTAATTGAAGGAACTGAGGTGGATTTTATTGATGTGGGAGATGAAGGAATAATTTCTGGAACTTCTGGGTAAGCAGAAAGAAGCGGTGAAGGTGGTGGTGAAAAAGCTGACCCATTTCTCCCCTGATCTAATGGATCATATTCTACCAGTAGTCCCGAGTGTGAGGACATCCATTTTAATATACTGTTTCGTGTACCATGAAATACGAATTTTGAATTTAAAGGTGAAAGACGGATTTTTGTAAAATTTGAAGGTTTCACTATTCGGGCTTTATTATCACCTGTGACTTCTAAAGTAATTTTCAAAAGAGGTTATGATATGACAATTTATATCTACACAAGAATAAATAATTATTAAAAGATATATTTACCCACTGAATATCCATATTTCATTTCTTTACTATTAATGTTCTTAAACATCATATTTTATTCAAAAATAAATTCAGTGATAAAAAAATTAAATTTAAAAAGTATTAAAATAATTTGTGGCTATTTATAAAAAATTAATTATGCCAAGAATAATATGTGAAACCGAAATTTAATAAAATTATGAATTATCCGTGATTGACACGAGATATGTCATATCTTTCTAAAAAGTAAGTCATTTGCCCAACTCCTTAATACCTGTATTCATAATTCATGGACCACCCGATAAATTTCAATTTATGAATTTCAGCCACAGATTTCATACACAAAAATTGTTTTCAAAGTTACAATGAATTAATGAACCATTGAAAAAAAATCATCAGCCCCATCGATCAATATTTTTGTTTAATAAATTTATAATTTGTATAAATTGCTTTTTTTTGGTTTATGGTAGACACTTTGCATATATTTTCTTTCTTTTTATTTAGTTAATATATTTAAGTACTAGCGAGTTTACCTGATGAACCGATGTGGAATAGATATAGATTCATAAAAAATATTTATAAATAAAATGTTTATTTTGTTAATGTATGATTAATCGATACATAGCAAACTCTCAACCAATTATATATTGCTTATGTAACCTATAAATATAGTGTGCTCATTTTATGACATTCTTTTTTTAATTATTAATAGTGCATAAATATGTAATGCATTTAAAAAAATTTAGCGCATATTGATAAAATTTTGTGCATAAAATAAGTATAGGTAAAAGTTAAATATGCATGAAAAATAAATCTAGAAATCTTATTTCAAATATTGCTAATTGCTAAAAATTTCAAAATTATTTAGTAAAAAAGGGATTAAATGTTAAAATTGATATTTTATAATATAAAGTGTGTTGTTTAAAACTAAAATTCTCTAAGTTAAACTATTTAATTAATAAAGACTACTAAATTAACTTTAATAAACCAAAACTAATTTTTTTAGTAATTTAAGATAGAATTAGAGCTCTGAATCAGGTCAGGTCAACCTGTGACCTGACTCGACCCGACCTGAAAAATCCAGGTTAGGTAGACAAATTTTCAGGTCAACATTAGGTCAGGTCAAGCTTATGACCCAACCTGATAAAATTCAGGTTAACCAATCAAATTAAACAAAATAAAATATTTAAAAAATATTTTATTTTTTTTTAAAACATCTTTAATTTTAAGGGATCAGCATCCCTGGCTCAATGGTTAAATCACGAGTCTCCTATTAAGCTAAAGTTTTATTACACAGCAATAGGCCATCAGTTCAAATATCGGCCGATACATAAAACACATAAAACTAGATGATTTTCATAAGAATTTCATATGTGACTGAAATGATAGACATATGTACTAACATGCGTACAAATCTGGTTGATTGATCTATTGATCAATATTGATCATGTCTAAATACTGCACAGTATTAGAATATGTAGATGCAAATGAAACCTTGAATCGACAGAAACTTGGCTTCGCTGATTAGTCTGTAATGGATACAATCTTACATCTCACCTGGTAAGAGTCCTTATTGCCGTATATGATCATAAGATTATATATAAATTAAGGAAGTAATTGACCAGAACTTAGTAGATTAGATCAGTAGTGATAATAAACTGCATTGCATGCCCGCAGCACTGTCTAATCGAGCTGTTACTAGGGTTAGAAATCAGATTCGATTCCTGAGTTGTTTGACGTTATGGGTATCAAAGTCACCTAGTTGATGTAGTCTATATGCGTAACTGGAAATCACTGTTTGGGTAAATTTTATAGTACTATCCCATAAACCCTGCGGTTCTTTATATAGTTATAATAAAGCCAAATCAAGTAATTAGATCCTGATTATAGTTTACTAGATCATTGGTAAGAATAGTAATAATGTTCACTATGGCTGAGATGAATCTTCTATCCAAATTTGACAGTATTTTTGATACTAAATATCTAATTTCAGATCACAACAAGCAGTTTGAGTTGCAGGGTTAAGATGTTATGCTTAGATGAGCACATTGAGAGGGATGTACTTAACATGGTAGATAACTTGAAAAATAGGGAAATACCTGAGATTGAGTGGCTAGACGTCACCATTAATGGTATTTGATAAATTTCGGTAAGCTAAGTTTAAGTGCAAAGGTACTTAGTTGACGTCGTAGCATCTTAAAAAAAACATCTTTAATTTTATTTAATATACTTTCTTTTTATATTCTAATAAAGTTGTTAATATAATTAGTTTGTAATTTATTATAATCAAAAAGTTAATTTTTAAATTATAAACATTTTTTGCAAAATTGTTCAACAAATTAATTTTAATTTTTTTTATTTGTTCAATTACTTTAAAGAGATATTTGAGCACTTTTGTCAAAGAAAATCAACTTTGTCACGTAAGTAAAGTTACTCAGTAGGTTTGAAAATATATGCATATAAATTTTTATTATGATTATATTAATGGTTATAAAGTTATAAATGATTTTCGTGATTGTATTATCTCACAAAATATTTTTATTTTTTTTATTTGTTTAGTAAATTTAAAGGGAAATTTAAGCATTTTGATCAAAGGAAATCAACTTTAGTCGCATAAGTAAAGTTGGTCAGCGAGTTCGAAAATATATGCATATAAATTTTTATTATGATTTGATTAATGGTTGTAAAGTTATATACATTTTCATAATTATATTATCTTACAAATTTTTTATTTTTATTTTTTATTCTTACAGTGACTCAAAGAGCAATTTATGTATTTTGGTCAAAGGAAATCAACTTTGGTCGCATAAGTAAAGTTGTTCAGTGGGTTCGCAAATATGTGATTATAAAATATTATTATAATTAAATTAATAGTTGTAAAGTTATGCATGTTTTCGTAATTGTATTATCTCATAAATTATCTGTATAGTGACTTCAATGAGATATTTGAATACTTTCATCAAAGGAAATTGTCTTTTATAGCATAAGTAAAGTTGCTTGGCGGATTTGAAAATATGTACATATAAATTTCTATTATTATTGGATTAATGGTTATAAAGTTATAAATGTTTTTCATAATTGTATTAGCAGTTATCTGATTTGTAGATTTATCGCAACTTGTAATTTTAAATTCTGCAGTTAAAATAATTATATATGTATCTTTTTTTTTTTGAAAAATAATAAAATGTAAAAATGTATCTATATTTTTTATATTTTTTAAAAAAAGAGTAAACAAAATTAATAATTGTTTGGTTTCTTTTTTTAGACAGATCAAGTCAGGTTAGGTCGTGTCAGATGTATATTTAATTCAGATCAATTTATGTCTGACCCAACCTGATCTTATCAGGTCAGAACAAGTCAATTACCTGACCTGACCCAATCTGTTCAGAGCTCTACCAGAGTTTCATTTTCTTAGCAAACCTCCCATATATCAATCATAATGATAAATAAAGATTTTAATAATAAATAAAAGATATTTTATATTAAAATTATAAGTTTATAATTCTAAAAATGATTTTTTTTGCATTATTCAATTGATTCATTATTGTTACTGCATCTTCTGTTGCATTATCTGAATCATTATCAGTTGCATTTTCATTATCCTTATTAATAGTTTTGGATTCAATTTGTTCTTTTATTAAATTTGTTAAACTTGTTATCAATTGTTAACATTATTCTTATTCTTATCCTATAAGTAGTTTAAGTATATTAAACACTTGTTTTGATATCATTGCAAATAATGATTGTGATAACTATGCCCACATACTAAAACACTGTCATTAAAAGAATCATCAGTATAGTCACAACTAATAAAATCATATAAAATAGAAATATTAGGTTTTCTAGAAATTACAAAGTCTTATGAGAGATTCTGATCTATTATTTTATAAGTTAATGAAAAAAGATTATACATGTTAATACTATCAGATGAGAATTTAAGGATTAAGAATACTGGTTTCATATTGAATATATCTTTGTGAAAGACTCTAAAATCTATATACTACATTTTGAGAAACATTCGCAACTAATTTGATGTATATAGATATTTTATGTTATATATAAAATGTTGCTGAAAGAAATTTTCTTGTCAATATTAAAAAATAAAATGTGTTTCCTTTCATAATTATTAAGCAGTAAAAAAATTAGCTATATTTTTTTGAATAATACTATGAACTATTTCAACAGGCTAATCGCTTAAAAAAACAAGATAATTAGTAATTAAATTAATTATCAGATGTCCAATTTCTATCCAATAAAAAATATCTAAGAAGAACATTAAAGGGTACATTTGTAATTCCTTCAATTAAACTGAAGAAAAATGTTACGTTAATAATATATACAGCTTTCTTTATAAGCTGACTAATCATTCCCACAATAATGTACTGCATAAATATTAAGAAATAAAGAAATTAAATTACTAAAGAGGTCTATTAAATACAAAAATTCAATATTTTTATCTAAATAGCTGAATTTCAAATAAATAATATCAACTATATCAAGTCACGTCATACACACAATATATAAAATTAAGTTAATTTTCCATGATTATAGCTTTTTACCAAGATCCTTATATATACTAAATAATGCCTTTGTAAATTTTATTAAACAAATTAGAATGTTTTAAAAAGACAAGCTTACAAGCATTCAAGGATACATGAAGAGAACCTATTATTGGTATAAATGATATGACAAAGTGAGAAATAATTTCATTATTTATGAGAAGTCATTACGCAAAATCTTTTTAAATGAACAACTGACTAGACTAGTTCACAATAATAGAATCACATAGTGAAAAAGGTATCTTCATATTTGTTCTTGATTATATATGCCCTATAAATAATATGTATAAGGAAAGTATACAGAAATAATACGTTTAAAAAATGTATAATAAACGTAATAAAACAGTATAATAAATTTGTAAATATTTCTGTATACTAGATACTGAAAATCGTCTTTTTCCGTATGCAAAAAAATACTGAATTTATACGTCTAAT